TGCGCGACTGTTCCCACCCCCACGTCCCCGCCCCATCATCATCGTCATCATCATCATCATCATCATCACCATCATCACCAATCTACCCGTGCCCTACCTACCACGCTACCACCCAATCAATAGAAGATAGGATCGCCCCGCCCTCGATTTACATCAAAATTCATTTTATTCATTTATAGAATCCATTTTATATTCTTTTTTTGTACATTCCAAAATACTCAAACGTATATTCTTTCTCAAACGTATTTTCTTCTTTCGAAATTTTCGAAATACATAGGATTAAGCATTCTCTCTCGACATTTCATTTTCGAAATTCGAAAATCAGTTTAATCAATTCTTTTTTCGATTTTTTTTGAAAATTTCAGAATTAATTAAATTTTTTTTCGACATTTCTTTTTCATAATTTGAAAACATTCCTTATTCTTTTTCGGAATTTGTGTAATTTGGAAAACATTTTAGAATTAATTAAACTCTTCCTTTTCGTAACTCGAAATACGTTAGAATTATTTTTTATTTTTTTATTTTTTCGACATTTCTTTGAAATTCGAAACTACTTTCAATTCATTCGTTTTTCTCTTCGACAATTTTGAAAATATTTTAGACCTAATTTAATTATTTTTCAACATTTTTTTTTCAACATTTCTTTTTCAAACCATTTCTACTTTTTTTTTTTTTTTTTTCGAAATTTTTAAAAATACGTTAGAATTAATTAAATTCTTTTTTCAAATATAATTCTAACTAATTTTTTTTCCCAGTATTTTAATTCACAATTTTTTTTCGCAATTTTTGTTGAAATTCGAAACTCTTTTTACAATTCGGAACTACCTTTCTTTTAAAAATGTTATTCTAAACCACTCAATTAATTTCGACTAAATTCAATTAATTCACGATTGAATTAATCTCTTTATTCGAAATTAATTATCCTTTTTCTGAAATGTTGACATTTTTCTTTGAAAAATTTTTGCCAAATATTTTAAAATTTTCCTCTTCCTAATTCTTTTCAGAATTTATTCATTTTTCCCCAGTAATTTGAAAATATTTTCTTTCGAAATTTCACGTTTTTTTGTAAATAAATTTAAATCTACACTAGAATTTATTTTTTCGAAATTAATTAACTCTTTCTGTTCAACGTTTATTTTTGAAAAAGCTTGGGGATTATCTTTATTTTTGAATTTATTAATAAATAAATAAGGGATTCCCGCCCCCACCCTCCACATGCCACCACGCCAAACCAAGAACTCCCAACACGCCGCCACTGCTGCCGCCGCCACCGCTGCTCCTGCATCCTCCACACCCGCTCAGGCCACGTCCTCCACCCTCTCTTCCCCCGACATGGCCGCATCCTCCATCAACATGTCCGACATCCGCACCGACTCAGTTGATAGCATCGCCCGCAACCTCACAGGCGAACAACCACCAACAAACACTGCCACCCTCGACCTCTCCGCCATCCTCCACGCACTCAACACCCTTCAAACCTCCGTCACCACCTCTCTCGACGACATAAAGGCCAATATGTCATCCATATGCGACCGCGTCACCACGCTCGAAGGGACCACCCCCTCCATCACGGTCGTCACCACCGCGCAAACCACTCCAACCCCCACAGTGCAAACTACTCCAACCTCCACAGTGCAAACCACTCCAACCCCCACAACGCAAACCAC